ATTGTTCAATAAATTTTTATCGTTATCATTGTCTATAAATTCTTGTCTAGATTTATCTTCTCGTGTTTTCATTGAGGAAGTATTAACATCATGTACAACAATAAATAAGGCGATAGCTGAAATTGTTTAATAAATAATTTAACTTCTATGTTTACAACAATACCTGTACAAACGCACAAACACCTGATGTGACTGTTAGCACGTAGGCCGCTAATTGATAATATCGAATTGGCGAATTTTAATTTATAAAGTTAGAACGTATAAAATGCCTAAGATTACAATCGAATACTATGCTATTAATGCCGTTTAATTGAAATTTACAAATAGCTCTGACTCTGTTTTTAGCTATAGTTAATTAATTCTATATTTTATACCGTGATAACACTGGATAGAAAATGCGATCGGATTAAAACGGTATTTTTATGCAATATGTTTCTGAACTGTTTTCTGTTCTATTTAGAAGAGTATGATAATGATGCATGATTATTATATTTTAATTATGAGAGTCAATCATTAGAAAAATTATCGGAAACACAATTGAAGTGGAGCTTTGGAAATGATAATGTAAACAGGTTAATTGTTTAAACTGCAAGTTGTTTACAAAACTTGTTTATTATTTTTTAAATATAATTTTATTTTTAATATGATATGTAGAAATTTTAATATATTTGAGTTGTCAGGTTTATGTACATGATATACATTATATCTTTGGGATTCATTTGGCATATCTCTATTTGGTATATTTCATTATTAGAATTTCGTAAATGGTGATGATTTTTAATTTAATATATCAACGCTGAGGAAGGGCTAATCTTACTAGGAAACATATTTCCATCTATATTTTCATGTAAAAATCGGCATAGGTCCTGCTTGATATCAAGCTGATGATTGAGGTGTGATTATATTTATTCAAAATATTTCTATCTATATTCAAATAACTTAAACAGTATTTATGGTTCATTTCTTTTTTGTGGACGTGTGTTTGATTTGGAGTATATAGTTTTGTACTTAAAAATTTGAATATTTTATGATTTTTTTACATAAATAATTTTACTTGTTGAGAGTAAAATTACAGAAAAAATTATCAATGTCAAAGATTTTGAAATTTACAGATATTAATGTAACCTAAGTTATTTTTTTCAATCTTTTCTCAGTAGTATTATGTTGAAATTCTCTGGCAAGTTTTATGAAATTGATGAATTTTTCAAATGTCTCAGATTTTTAATACCTTCCATATTTTTCCACTAAGAGCTCAATGAATTATTATCTAATGAATTAATTAATACAGAAATATTTTCTGCTATGTAATTAGAATTCTTCCACAATGTGCAACTTGGTATCAAAAAATGTTATAATATTGTGTCAATGTAGCAAAATATTATTATAGAAATTTGAGCGATAAATGATGATGATTTTAGTGAAAAAAATGCTTTGGTGCATTTTTACAAAATTATATCAAATTGCTATTGGAAACTAGTTGGTATTGGTATTTTGCATTGAGACAAGTTACATGAACTTCCCGATATGTGTAAATAATCTACTTAATCAATAATCTACTTAATAAATTAATATATGAGTGATTAAAAGTATTCAGAGTGGATTATTACACATCATTGAAAACGAACGACCACGTTAACTCGGAATATTTTAAAAGCAAATTTTCAAAAATCAACAATTTTTATAAAGAACCAGTTGGACTCAATTGGTTTAGTATTTTCATTAAGACCAAGTACTCTATAGTTATACCAAGTAAATCGTCTAATTTTAATTTTAACAAACTTCAAAAAAACTACTCTTTCTCAAACTTTGAATTTTTAAATTTAAACTACTTGTCGTAAGGCCGTAATATTTCAGTAAGATCTACAAGACCATGATATATATCGCCAAAAAAAGTTTCATAAAAATCGGCTCAGTTTTTAATTTGGTCTCATTGAATTCAGAATGGCTTGAAACGTCGAGAAAACACAAAATTAGCGAATCGGATTTTTTATGAGAACATTAACTTCCCCTTCGAGATAACCTCAAAGAGAATGGACAATCACTGGGTAGCCTTCAAGGATGAGGAATTACTTCACGATTGCTCTAGAGTCTAGATCACTAATTGTAAGGATAGTCTAAAAAAACGCCATACGCTCATAATAGAATATTTTTCTTAGGAGAGTTTGCTCTCTCACCAGAATTAATCTAGTCAATTCTCAGATGCCAAACTTTT